AAAACACAAAGCATTAGAGTTCGGACTGTTGTAATTGTAATGAAAACAATAACAGAAACAATAACTATTGTTATTTTATAAACTTTTTTAGAAACAATAACAATACTTGTGATTTACAATTATTTTAATACTGTAATACAATAACAATAGATATTGTTTTGAGATTCATCTTCTTAATACAATACAATATCTGGAAAAAAAAGTATTGTAATGACTCAATACAATAACAATAACTATTGTATTGTAATTCATCTTTATAATACAATAAAAATTTATTGTTAGGGATCGTCTATAAATTACGTAACTCTAAATTTTATTTTTAAAAAGGAGTAGGAGATCTCAAGTTCTTTTTCGCAGCGATTTAATTAAACTTAATGGCCTGTTTTGATTTTTTTTTAAGACTTGAGGCTCTGCAAGGGAAAACTTATAATCTTTTTTGTTTTGTTTATTGTTGAAATTTATCGTTGCGTAATATATATGGACAATCCCTTATTGTAATAAAAAAATTATTGTAATGTCAAAATTATTAAATGTTTTAACATTCCAGTCTCCGAGATATGTGACCTTGAAATTGGGTACAACTAATATATAATTATTGATTCTATTTCTATTTTATTTACTGAATATCACTTGTCTTTGTTGCAAATTTTATATAGCTCAATAAAAGTGAGATTGATCTGACCCGTACTTCTTTTATTCCTGGGGATGGAAATGATCAACTACTAACATTACTTCCACTTAGTTATTTATATTAGACACCTATCCAATTGTTTCGAAACTTACTCAACTAACACTTACTCTAAAATAACTTTGTCGTTTGCTTCCTTAGGTTTTATGGCTGTATGTGTTTTATAAAGTAACTTGACTATTGGATCTAGTTAACAAGTTATACAAGAATTTTAGTACATAAATCAAGAACAATATTCATTTGGTATTCTAAACTGCCTCATTTTTCAAAAATAGCCCCCTACAAAATTTACGGTCTGATAGGTGATGAGTAATCTAAAAATGTAGAAAAAGTTTTTGTAAAACAAAAGTAGTTCTTATTTTTATAATCTTTTCTTTCACTTAACATGAACTGGTATTGTGGTTTAACCTCCTCCGGCTAATTTCCATATATAGGCCACTTTACCAGGGTCCGCAAAAACTAGTTGAGCTCCCGATGGAGCGTCATACCCGCTCTACGGACCAAGAGTAAGGTGGGTTTGGGAAGATATGTTAGAGTGAAAGATAGAAGTAGTCGAGTTAGAAAGATAGCATAGAGTAAGCAGACAGGATTGCACACGATGTTAGAGGGTGAAATACATACTGTTAGTTAGGGCACCTAACTAATGTACGCCGACAAAGTTGTGATTGGAGTTCACATTACATAAACTCTTCCTCAACTTTCCTTGTCGTCCAAGGGATACCTAAAAAGTAACCTTTTATTATACAATCTAATTGATAACTACCCAGATCAATGGTTCCCTGATTCCATAAAGCTGTAATTTATTACTCATTAGCGGTTAATTATACTGAAAAAAAAAATATTTTCATGCGCTTTATGTAATTAATCAATTAGTTTAGACGTCATCATCCAGTGAAACATTTTAATATCAGTTTAGACAAAATTATAAAAAAATCAAAAGTTTCACTTCACAAAGTAAATAATTATTTAATTACAAGCATATGATAAATTATATGTTTTTATGATTTTGAATGAATATCATTAATGTTAATTCTAAATAAACTATTCTTTAAACAGTATTATTGAACTCAAAACAATATTATTGAACTCAAAATAAATAAAATTTATATATGTAAATAGTTGCTAAAAACGGGTACCACGAGCGCCCCTGAACTTAAGATTTATAGTATACGTTATATATACTTAAGATTTATAGAATACGTTACATATACTTATTTGGCTTTCCTGGCTTTACTTCACTTCTCAAAATAAATAAAATTTATATATATAAATGAGAGAAAAAAAATCTAAATATTTTAAAATACAATAGCTATTGGACTGAAATAGTAATACAATACACCACCATAGTTATTGTAATAGTTTTACATCACAGCAATACAACAACAATAAATAATGTTTTAATTACATCTCTGTTATTACAATACAATATTATTGTAATGTGTTATTATAATTAATTTTTACAATTACAAGTACAACAGTCCGAACCCTACAAAGGATTGCGTATCATTGCGATATCAGCGTTTATTATGTTGACATCTTAGTAAAGGTTTGACCCATAGGCTAATCTTTTACGTTATTCAACGTTGTTCAAACGTTGTTCAAATATTCAAACGTTGTTCAAGCAAGCTTTATGTTGTATTAGGTATTGTGGCATACTGTGATTCTCTGATTCAAACAGTAAACATAACAAGCTATTATTTGCAATGTTATAGGTCATAATATAGGTCATACCAGTTTAAAATCTGCTATAGCTAGAGTTCTAAAATTTTTATGGCTTTTTGTTTTTACAAAGAAAATGCGACTAGGTTAATATTTATCTTAAAAAAAAAGTCAATTTGTGAATATACGGATGACTTGCTCTTTGATCTCGACTTATTAATGATTTCAAAATTTGTATTCTGTTTTTGCAAGACAACTCTACTAATTTTGAAACAAATATCCTTTTTGATCAAGAAAATTTACCAAATAAAAATTCGGAATTAATATTAGAACGGAAATAAATTGGCATGGTATTTAGAAAATAAAAATATTTTAAAAAGTTATAAAAGTTAATGATCAAAATAGAAGTAACTCTATCTAAAGTTTTTTTTTTTCACAACTTTTTTTTTAAGTACTTTCGCAAACTTCCTGTTTATAAGAAAATAAAAAAATAATAAAAATTAATTACAATAACTTTTAACTTCCTGAAAAATGTAATTCGTTAAAATTTCACAGCTTGAGTTTTTGAAGTTTAGAATTCTTCCAGACTACTTATTAACAGATTATAATGACAGTAGATGAAAGAAGTTAGGTACGATTTTTTTTTAAATTGGTTTGTTTATTTTTACACGCAAACACGCACACACAGATAAATTTACACATTTTTTGCAAAAATGTTGTAAGCTTTTAAAAGAGGAATAGCTTGATCATGTTTTGTATTTAAATGAATTTACTAAACAACAAGATATGCGACAGTGGATCTATTGTTTGTCTTTTTATCATTTTAATTGTACTAGCATTTACTTAAGTCATAAAAGCTAATTCATTAGCATTTTATTTAACTCATAGAAGCTAATTCACATGAACATATCAGGCTATTACCGTCAACAGGTGACGCGCAATTTCTCAGAAGAGTATGCACAGTCGTTTACAAAGATATAACATTACCAGTTTTAAAACCTTTATAAACCTTTATAAACCTTTTTTATCCCCTTAATTTAAAGCTACGTTGATTTTTTTTTATTATTTTCATTAGTATTGATACTACTATTATTATTGTTATTATTATTAATATTATTTTTATTATTAGTTATTTTTTATATTTGTTATTATTCTTTGTTGTTGTTATTTTTTACTAAACTTGGTAGGTGTTTACTTCAAATTAATAATTATTACGAAATATTCTTGATATCAAGAACTTAAAACAAATCAATTGCATTTTGAAAAGTTGTGACATATGTAACATTGTAGTATTTAATTTTATGTAGCATTTGTAGCAACATGTAGCATTTAATATTATAATTATTTTTTAAGTTTTTCCTCATAAATCCGAAATAATTTTAACTTAAGAAGTAAAAAAATATTATTGAAATTTAAAAAAGTGTTCAATTTAAACCATTTTTACTCTACAAAACCCTATACATTAAGTATCAGGAAATTCGGGTATTAGGTTGCTTCAAGCTGGAGTAGATAAAAATCTAAGATTATAACGAGTAGCTATCTAAATTGAAAAACATGTTTGAAAAATCAACATAAATAAACCACTTCGAACACACCATTTTTAGTAGAATTACAAATAAATGCACTATTTAAAATAAGTAAACGTAAACAAAACTAAAATATTTCAGCAGTTTATTTCTTTTTTCTGCAATAAGTTAAAGTTTTCAAGCTAAAAAGATAAATAAAACAAATCATCTGAATTTGTTTTTTGTTATCCGTCTACCTAAACCCAAATAAGTTGCAACATTTAAAAACATTTTTTTATATAAATATTTTTTTAAATTTTCATAAGTTTATCTAATTATATGGCTTTTATGTAAAACTACCGAATTTTACAAGACGTCCTGTAAAAATCGGGTCCGGACCCAAACATGTTTAAAAAATTATAAAATAAGTTATTTACGTTTCATTATACATAAAAATACACGGGAAAATGTTTTAACCAGGGGTGTGGAGTCGTAAAAAAAAGTAACGACTCCAACTCCAGTTGTTGAAATTTTTTGAGTACAACTCCGACTCCGTTAAAAACTCGCAACTCCGACTCCGACTCCACAGCCCTGGTTTTAATCAGCACTCGTTTTAAAATTATAACTTACTCTAGTTTATGTTGTATATGTAAAAAAAAAAATTGAAATAATTACATGGCCAACACCACCGGTGGGGCCAGTGAGGGACGGGCCCAAACTTTTTTTATAAAGGACTTTTTTTTTAAGAAATTTTAAGATATAAAGGACTTTTTTTTAGAAATTGATGATTGTGCCCGCGCACAATCATCAATTTACAATCAAAGTGGTGGGGCACAATCAAAAGTTTCGTCTTTAAATTGTTGTAATTGTAAATATTTACATAAACTAAACTAGGATAAAACAAGTTTTATATTAAACTTTTAAATAAATTACGTTAAACTTTATAAATATATAAAATTTTCTATTCACGTGACTAGGTGGCAATGTTTGCGTAGTCCGCAACAAAATTTCAGCTATTTAAAAAATTTTGAAAAAATTTAATAATACCTGGATTTTACTATTATTAGCTTATGAAAAACTTATTAAAAGCTAATACCTGGATTTTAATATTATTAGCTTATTATTATTATTAAAAGTCGACTTAACGTGTCAAAAGCCCACGGAAAACATAAATAAAGGAAACTGTTTGTTGTTATAAATAATTCAGCATTTGATAATTGTGAGCTTAGGAGTCTATTTACCATTAAAATTCAACGTATGGCGTGAATACATAATTAAATTTTTTATAATTTAAAAATTTCTTACCCAATTTAATTTGAAATAAATTTGCTAAAAAACAATAGAGATTAAGGAAAACAATGACAATGAAATTATTCTACATTTTAAGCTTTCATTTCTATTGCACATTTTAAAACTATTTTACTTTATTTGTAACTTAAATTATGGATAAAATTATGTAACTTTTTTCAAACCTTTTTTTTTAAATCTGTTAAGTAATCAACAAAATAACTATTTTTTTTATAGTTGGTTTACAAATAGTCAAGGAACTAAGATGAAATGTAAGTTTGGCCGAAATGCTACCTTTATTTTAATGTTGGTAATAACAATGTCATTTTTTATTGTGGAGCTTGTTGTTGGTTATATGACTAAATCAATGGCATTGGTTGCTGACTCCTTTCAGATGTTATCGGATACAGTCTCTATTATTGTTGGCTTTGTTGCTTTTCACTGTTCGAAGCGTAGTGAAACTTCCAGCCGATTTACATATGGCTGGGTTCGTGCTGAAATACTTGGAGCTTTAGTTAATTCAGTATTTCTTGCTGCTCTTTGTTTTACAATTCTCATAGAATCATTTAAGCGGTTTGCTATTCCAGAAAGAGTTGAAAATCCTAAACTTGTTCTTATAGTCGGAGCAGTTGGTTTGCTTGTTAATATAATTGGATTGTTTCTTTTTAATCACCACAGTAATGGCCATTCAAATAATAGTGAATCTGTTGAAAAAGGACATAATAATGAAGTTGTAGACAATATTGTTGCTGAATTCCCATTAGTTGATAGTAGTGAAGTGGTTATTTATGATAGTGATAAAAGCAATTCCCAAGTACCTCAAGTTGTAAGTAATAATGAAAATAATAAAAAAAAATTAGGAGCATCTCGTCTAAATATTCGTGGAGTTTATTTGAATATTCTTGGAGATGCTTTAGGGTCAGTGATTGTTGTGATAAGTGCACTTATCATTATGTTTGTAAAAGCAGATTGGACTAACTATGTTGATCCTGCTATGAGCATTATAAGTGTGGTAAGTTTTTATAGTTATATGATATAAATAGTTTGTGTCTTATTATATTTGTTTTATAAGTATGCATTTATGATGATGATGATGATGATGATGATGATGATGATGATGATGATGATGATGATTTCAGCATTTTTCAAGCTTTTTTAATGTCATAATTTTTAGAGCATCATTTTGGCTTCATCTTTTTCTTTACTGAAAGAATCAATTATGATTCTTATGCAAACCTCTCCTAAAAGTATTAAACAAAAAGATATAGAAGAACATATTTTGCAAAAAATACCTTCTGTTATTGGTATCAAAAAATTTCATGTTTGGCAGTTAACAGGAGACAAAATAGTTGCTTCCATTCATGTTACATGTAATGCAAGTGTTGACTACATGTTCATTTCTAGCCAGATAAAGGATCTTCTACACAAAAAAGGTAAAGCTTTAGCAAACAAATCTTAAATGAATTATTTAAAAAAAAAAGTAATAAGTGAAAAAAAAAAAAAAAATGACAAATAATAATAATAATAATTTCCTTTTTAATGAAAACATGAATTTTATTGATACCTTATATATTATAATTAAATTAAATCCTCATAAAATTTTGCCAAAAACTTTGTGCACAAAAACCAGGAACAATTTTATTTTTGGAAAGAATATCGACTTTGTCATCATGGTTATTTTCATTGATTTCTTTTCAAATTAAAAGTATTTTAATAAGAATTCTTCTTCCAAGAAGGATATAAAAACATTTTTTCCAGGTTTACCTAATTTATTCTGTACCTTTTGGTCTTGTCTGAACTGTCATGTCTCCACATGCTAATACCCAATCATTGTCTTTACCTTCAATTATCCTGATTTGATTACAAAAAATCATCATTTTGCACCAGTATAATAAAACATAATATATATATATATATATATATATATATATATATATATATATATATATATATATATATATATATATATATATATATAATATTTCTTTTTTGTACAAGATAAATAAAACAATTTAGAAATAAGACAAATTTTTTTCTACTTATTGATAAAAACTATTTTTTAACAAATGAAATAACATTACATGTTTTGACTATTTTATAGTCATCTTCAGTTGGGAAAAAAAAAACTTTATTTTTACATACAAATATTCTACGGTAATGAAATATAAACTACAATATTTTATTAATGATGACAAAATAGGCAATAATACAATAAAAAGGTTATTAAATTTTATTTAACTAAAGGTTAGCTGCTTATAAAACTATTATGTGAAAAGTGATATTTTATAATGGTTTAACTGTTTGTTCATATCTTTATTTTTCCATTCAATGAACAAATATTCCTTAGTCTTAAGCTCGAATTTATTGGAGACCTGGAATCCAATATCGAGAAACAGTCATTATTACAATTATTATAAAAATTATTGTTGGCATGGAGATAATTGTATATGTGTGAGTTTTTGTCTCTCCTGTAGTGTTGAATCATTCGTGTTTTGAGGTGGCAAGAAGTTTTGCCTATCTTCTTTTTTTGTATGCGCTAAACTAATTGTAAATAAATAATCGAAAGTAAATTTTATTGCTTTTTAAAAAAATGCAAAAATAATAACTTCAATAACTAATTTTTTTATATTTCTCAAATTTTATTTTTATAAATCTTGTTTGAAAAAATTATATATAATTAATAATTTTGATCAAACGAACAAGAATAATATAATTTATTATAAATTTTGCTCACGCCATAGGTCAGGCCTGAGCAATGGCCTGCTTTTTTTTTGAGTTCTATCTTACTTGCACAACTTTTGTTTTATTTGTGTACACCCCTTTTGCCACCCCCTAGACAAGCTCTTTAAGTTTCGTTCTTCCAAACAATTAGCTTTTAATATTTTTCTTTGTCTCAAATAAGTTTGAACTTTTTAAGAAATTTTTAAATTACTTTTATTTAAAAAAAATTTAATTATTAAATCTTTGTATTTCTCTATAAATTTGTTTTCTCTCTGTTTTTAAGCAAATTCGCTTAAAATATTTCAATGTTTTATTTTGGTTTAGGAATTCACTCATCAACCATTCAGTTAGAGCATAAAAAAAATCTTGATTCATTAGCTTATCAAGTAAAGTCTAATGAAGCCTTATGTTTATCAAATGAAATAAATACAGAAAACAAACTTGTTTTGGTAAACGAGTCAGTGGTATGTGATATGGAATCGTCTGTATTGCACATTTCAAATATGTCATGATATATCAAATGTTTATTACTATATCAAATTAATGTCAATATTTATGAATTCTTATTTATTTTGTTTTTATAATTTGTGTGTATGTTTGTGTGTCTATAGTTTTAAATGTGAGACTTTTTCAAAACTTATAAGTGTTAAAAAAAAAATGTTTAATAATTTAATGAAAATTAAAATAATTTAAAAATTTAGAGTTAAATTGTAATTTTTTTAAATTTATTTTTTATAAAGTTAAAGTAAAAATAGTTATTATATTTAAACTCTTTTTTTTTAACCCTGGTATAGATACTTAATGGTTGTACCGGTGGTAGTGGTGGGTAAGTATTAGGGACCTGTAAAGTGTTCTTAGGGGATCTTTTTAAAAAAAAATTTTTATGCTTCAATCTGCAGTGACAGTGTTTTTGCAAGGTAGACGTCCGACTTATTTATGTTTATAGTATGATTAAATCAAAAAAGCAAAGCAACCATTGCTTCTTTTTTTTTTTTTTGGTTGAAACAAAAATATTTGCAAATCTTTAAATTTTCAAGAATTCAAAAGTAAAACTTTCTGTAACTGCTGGCCATTTAACATGTCTGTAAATTATTCTTATTATAATGCAATTAATGCATCTAATTCAATTTAGTTTAATACACCATTCATGCCAAAAATAAAAGAAGTTTTAAATGTGGTATTTTAAGCACGCTACCATTATTATCATTCTTGCCAAGTTTAAGCACAGAATATAAAATGCTTTAATAAAAGGTTTAAATAAAAAACGTTTCCATTTTGTTTTAAAGTGAAGACGCGTTTCAGTAAACGCAGAATTGTGCAAGTAGGGTTTTGGTATACAATTGTAATATGATCTACTTTAAATGTTTAAAAGTAGATCATATTACAGTAAATTTACAAATTTTACTGTAAAGTCTCTTATCTGTAAGCATTTCAATTGGATACAGAAAATTAAGAAGAAATTTATACTAAATCAAATTAATAACAATTTTTGTTGAAAAGGTTTTTTCGTGTTGAGTTCTTCTTTCGTTAAATGTAATAATCAAAACATATTTTAATAAATCAAATTTATAAAACATGTTCAATTTTTTTTCTGTATATGTAAACAACTACGACGGTGAAAGGTTTAAAAAATCAAATTTTGTCTTGCTTTATCTAACTTTTGAAACAGCATGGCTTACAAAAATCTCATAACTAAAAAGACCATTAGGGGTAAATCTATGAATGAAACGAGGGGCGTATCCTTAAAAACTGCCGACTGCTTTCTTAAATAAAAAAAGTAAGATCCTCAAAATTAATAATCTACCGACTGAAATGTTTCAAATACCAACTAAATCCCTAAAAAAAACTAAAGGTAGGCTTTTTTTTGGAAGAGGAGAGGTAACATTTTCCCGTAGAATCACCTTTAAAGACGTTCATGATTCGGATTATAGTTTATGCAAATAACTTCCCTCACTTTCACTACAATTAAATTGTAGTTAGATAATCTGCAATCTTGAACATTTCAAGAGAAAAATTTTAAAACCGTGTTAAACGCTGTTTGTTATTGTCAAATGCCTCAATACCGTTGCCATACTTAAAGATTTGTCCCTTTCACAGGGTTTTATTTTGCATCATGACTAACTAAGCTCATATGAAACATCGCCAAAATCAACGCTGTTTTTGTTACAGTTTATGTCACGTAATGAATTTGGGTTGAATGTTAGTGGTTCAGATAACTGGGGGTAATGTGGAACTGATCGAACAGCTAATAAACATGCTGGGATAACAACGTTTTTCGTAGTTTTTTTCTTGATTTCTTTGATCAAGGAGACTCAAAAGCAGCAACCAGATACATGATGATGTTGCTCTTGCTATATCATAGGTATTGCAAAAGAAAATCTAAGTCCACTTTTAAACCAAGTACACAGCGCTGATGAACACCTCACACAGCAAATATGTCGTATCACGTAGTATAACTAATAAACCGTTTACATTAAAAGATAGCTTTGTTGTTGATTCTACATTACAAGCATTAATAAATCAATTATTTGAAAAATTTAATTTAGGGTATTGTTTGATGAAATTGTCAGCAAAATATACTGTTTTAGATTTTAATATTAAATGTAAATATGTTTCACATTAGGGTGTTTCATTTTCTACAAATTTTTGAAAATGATTATGTTACTCGCATAACGGGATAAATAATGGGCAAAAAAATATTTTCAAAAAGTTTTTAAAAATATTTTTAGAGCAAAAAAATGGCATAAATACGTTTTTCAAATTATGTGAAAAGTACTGCATTACTTATTTGATGGATAATTGCTTTACAAATAGATTTTTATTTTACAATGCAAACAATAGCGCAATAACTTTTTGTGATCAATTATTATCAAAGACATAGTTAACTCCAACTACTTCCTTTTAAGCATTGAAATTTATAGGAGCACACTTTTATATATAATTTTTAAAAAGTTATATTTTTTATTTATTTTTTCTTAATTTTAAAGTATGACTTTTTTAGAAATCGTATCTAAAAAATGCTTCTATAAATTTAAAAGGAAATTGTTGCATTTAATTATGTTCTTGGTAATAATTGACCACACAATGTCATTGCGCTGTTGCTTGCAATGCAAAATAAAACTATACCCGTGCAGGGGTTGACCATAGAATACGTTACGCAATTACTTTTCACATAATTTGAATTAATTTACTTTAAATAATTGTAATGTAAATATGGCAATACGACGCCAGAGAGATTTAATGCAGCCATTCGACGTTTCACTGTTTTTAACGCACTTTCTCCTGACGTTTTGGTTTCAATTGTGAGGCATCTATATTATTTTTAATAAAATGGGGGACAGTAACCTCAATGACTTCTTGCTTGCGTAGATTTTTTTCTGGTCCTCAATCCACTGTGAACACAATAATAAGCTTTGTAATCTTATCTCTCCCATTGCCTTCGAGTGTTATTTATTACTTAGCATCCATTTTAGTTGTTAAGTTAATTTATTTAGTGTTCGAAAGTTCCTGTACGTGTCACTTCTGAAATTTTTTCATAGCTTTCTTCTTTTTAGTTCAAATATTTTTTTTTTAACAAGCTTTTTTTGTTGATCATTTGTAATTATTGCCTTTTTTTTTGTAAAGTCTAACTCTATACAACGTCAATATAAAAATATAGCTAATCTTTTTATATATTTTTGTTTTGTTATATATCTGCAGGATTATCACCAGAAGTTGATGGATTCATTAGTACTTTTTTAATCTGGACAAATACTTTTTTGACGACTTTTTTAAAATCACCTGGTGATTTTAAAGCAAGATTCAGTGCTGATAATTAGAGAGATAAAATTGTTGCGTAATTGATAATTAGAGAGATATAATTGTTGCTTTATGTATCAGAAAAATAAGCCTTTAATGAGATATTTTTATCACATAAAAATGATATAAATAAAACAATTATTTTGGCTAAGTAAGTTGTTGATAGAAAAGTGAATAGTTTTATATTACTAGCAGGTGATTTCAACTTTTTGAATATCTAATGGTACGGTGACGATAGGATCGAGTTACTAAACGGTCAATATAGTGCGGCGAGTGTTTTTACTTGATACTTTAACTGGCCATAACCTAGAACCATTAGTTGATTTCTCAACATTCGAAGCATCTAATGGAAAAGCAAAAAAATTTGAATTGAATTATTACAAATTCTTCAACAAGAGTAATTGATTTATTTATCTCTTTGCCGTTAGTTTGTCGCAAGGTCATCGCATAATTATGCCGTTCTTTTAAAGTAAAATATAAATATGTAAATTTTGATGAAAAGATTATGTAAACAAACTGGCAACAATTTTTTGAATATATGAAAACAAGAAGTTCACGCCTCCTTCTGTACTAATGTCGTTTTTTAATATAGGTAAAATGTAAATATGTAAATTTTGATAAAAAGATTATGTAAACCAGCTTGGGTTGGAGCTGACGTCAAACTTGGACTTCTGGGTTCCGAGCCAGAACTCTAACCACTGCTCCACGGCTGCCTATTTGTCAGTCTATTATGTACCAGCTATTACTTACAAACTATTTACTTACCAGCGCATTTACCTAATTACCTACCATGGCTGCCTATTTGTCACGGCTAGCTATTTGTGCATACATTGACTGATGTATGTACACTCCTTGTATGTTCTATCTATTTGTTTGTCGATTTATGAAAAATGAATGATTAAGATTTTGTTTGTATTATAAAATGTATGTATAAAATATTTATATTACAAACAACTATTATATTGATATATAGTTCATTTTATACGCTGTAATAAAAATCCGGGGGGGGGGGGTTCTGCTACCATAAGACTACACACTTTACGCTAAAAACACCAAGTTACGAATTTTCAAAAATACGTTGACCTGATTTCTTATTTTTATTTTATAATAATATTAAAACCACATTTTCATTTTTTATAAAAAAATTAAAAACTCTTAAAAATTTAAAAAAGACATTCAATAATTCGTTTAACAATTATTCAACCTTGGTTACTTCAAAACGACCCAAGATTGATCTGCGCGATTATCCAAAAATTGATTAATAAAAACTTTGAAAAAAGTTCTTAAAAAACTGATGGATAGGTTCCTTATTTTCATATATGACTTTCCAAGTCTTAGTGTGAGCTCTTCCGTATGAGTTCTGCTTTCTCTCTAATTTACAAATACTTGTAAAGAAATACGCATCTGTGCACTTACATAGCAATATACAGAAATAAAAAGATAAAAATGTACTAAACATTATAATACATTTTGATATTGCTAAATTGGAATTCAAAAATCAGCTGTGTTCTCATCGATTCATATCCATCATGTTTAAAAAGCAAGAAGTTAATGGGAGGTAATAAATTTCACCGTCACCTAAAAAAAAAACAAAAAAAAAATAAAAATAAAAAAAGAAACAGTAACAATCTAAGACAAAATATGACAAATTTTCAAACGAGGGGTAGTAGAAAAAAAGATTAACTAATATTAAAAAACATAGACGGAAAAATTAAATATAAGATAAATAAAAGATCTGCTAAATTATTGTCTTACCAAAATCACTGAATGTTGAACTAAACAAAGAAACGCGTCTTTTTTGTTGATAGTGTTTCGACAAACAGCCATTTAAAACCAAGAACTGAAAAAAAAAATTGTGCATTTTTGACAAATACAAATTAATGCTTTTATAATAATAAAACTAAATATACATAAAATATAATTAATTACTCACGTCAAGTATAATGCATAGAGAGTGAGGCCGCAGAAGTGATTCAAAATGTTTAAAGATAACACTCTAAACAAAAAAGTAAAAAGAATTTCTATATAAAAAAGGATCTTAAGTTAAAAAAGAAAAATTAAAAAAATAAAATTTAACATTTTAATCGATATTACTGTTATCATTAGTAACATTATTATTGTATATAACTTTCAAAATTCTTGGAGGGGTATTTAGAAATGTGACGTCACACAACAAATTTTCTTTTACATCACTATTATTTAATGGTTCAAATAAATTTTTATTTCTTAGGTGCCAGTGATTTAAATAATGTACTTTTTGAATTTCGGTATTGACTGCAAATTAAACACAAATACCTTAAAATCCTTGTTACGTAACATATCTTAAATAAACATATAACAACAAACTATGTAACTTAGATAAAAAACGAACTTTTATTGAAGACATTTGTCAAGTTAAAATCAGCCTTCTAACTTCCCCCCTCGTGTTAAGTTTTTATTTTCAACACCGATATTTCAGTATTTACTCAAATACAGAAGTTCAAATTTTTTTCCAAAATTAAACAAACAAACTCATCGTATAAATGGCCATAAGGAGAAAAAGATTATTGTACTTTACAGTGATGGACACAGGGAACCTCGAATCCGACACTGATCATGTATTATGTTATTTGAACGGAATTAATAGTGTCTTTAAATTATAATTTATATACCATCATATTAATTTTTAATACATTATTACAAATTTGTTCCAGGCAATTTGTAAATGTTTAAATAATTGTTTGTATGAAGTTGGAGAAAGTAAACCTCTAAACAAACTTCAATAATTTTTTAAATTATTTCAATATGAAGTTGGAGAAAGCTTCTATGCATCACTTTGATTGTGTGTAAATATGCCTATATTAATGCATTTAAAAAGAGAGAAAACAAGATTGTTGAGAAAAGTTTAACAAATTTTGGAACTAGATGAAATCTGATGATAATCTGTCTGCAAGAGCTGACTTTTTGTTTAAAATATTTGTTGCTGAAAGCAGCATGTTTTATCAACAAAAAGTCACTAAGAACTGTAATAGAAAACAATGTATGCAAAGCTCCATGTGAAAATGGTATGTTTGGTGCAGAACATGCAAGAAAGTATATAAAAAAAAGTTTATAATGAGCTAAAAGTTGGAATTAATGTTATCTATAGTGAATCAGTTGCTTTATATAAAAAGATCTAGAGATCAATAGGATCATGAAACAGAGTTTATGAAAAATGCAATGACTTAAATTAAATGCAATTCTAAAAGAGATTAAATAAAATTTATTTGATACCAAATGAGATTAAATAAAATTTTAAGATAAACATCTACTGAGTCATCAAACATCTGCATCCTACCAAGAATAGCATTATTTGGAAGATAACACTTGAAGTTTTTAAAAAATAGAGGTATCTAGAGATTTTAAGAAAAACAGTCAATAGCTATTTTGAAAAAGATTGACCTTCACATATATCAAAGACTTGAAAAATTGTATACAAGCTATAGAAATTTAGGCAATTTTCTATTTAACAAAAGAATTTAAAAAAAGCCCTCTTTTTTTTTCTAATACGAGCTAAAATAGTGGATGAAACTCAAGTAAAGATTTTATGCTGCAAAAATCAAATAGATACTGTTGTAAATACAATAATACAATTAAGGAAAATTTTGTTGCAGTTTCATTTGTTGTAATATATGTATTAAAAGACCTGAAAATTTTGGAGAAAAGTAGATTTATGTTTTTAGTTTTTGAAACAAAAAAGTTGTTTAAAAACTATTGATTTATAGTGTTTTCAAATTTAGTTAAATAGAAGAAAATAAAAGAAGTGAAAAAAAAGATTAAACTAGATTATGGTAAAATAAAAATTTATTTTTCAAAGTAAATGATATGGTGAGATATTAGGAACTAAAGTACCAGAGATTTTCTATTAACTATTTTAACTTTTGATCAACACACGATGGAGTGATACGAGTGTTACAAAGGTACAGCAGTGACTGGAAAAAGAGTGTGGCATTACTTTAAAAAACAAAAAAAAAACGTTAAATTAAAAAAAGAAGGTCTAGAATAAGGTCTGATACCGTAAGCAAACCTTTAATCTGCGATATGTGTCTAATATGTGCCAACCTTTAACTAAATTTAAAAAAATGCAGATATTTAAAATTCAAAATCTTAAAGGTAACTTTTCATCTAGGTTCACCCTTTCTACCCTTTTATTCTTCAGCACCAAGTCTTTAAAAAAAAATTTTTTTTATAATAAAAAACGATAATTCTACTTAACATCTCCTTTATTTAATTTCACTAATTTTAAATTTTAGACAAATTTGTTCATTTTATTTAAGCCTTAAAGCTAAAAATTCAAAGCATGTCTGAAGACCAATCGTCTTGAGATTTTTATATGTTAACAACAACTTATGCATATTGTTTTACTTTTTTTTTTATAAAACAAACTTCTTTCCAACCTTCTTTCAGTCCTTTATTTCTAAACGCACAAACATTAGCAAAAAAAATCTGTAATATCTACTTAATTTTATTTTTATAAAATACTTACTTCTTTAACACCTGGATTTGTAAGAACAAATAACAGTACACACTCTTGAAAACGTTTAAGAAGAACTCCATTTAAATCCCCATCCAACTTTAACCAGGGAGCCACCTTGACCATTTTAAAAACTCGACTAAAAGTAACATTTGTACTAATTACAATGTTCATTTAAAAATGAAAAATCTAAAAAATGAAATTCTAAATAGTTACACATTTTAATAAATTCATTAACATTATTCATAGTATTTACATATTGTCCATTCAAAATTTAAAACCCAAAATTTTCTCATCATATAAGCTTTTTGACAAATAAAATCTTGGTGGACTACTTTTGATATTTATAAAACAACTTTTCAATTAAATTTCAACCACTGTTTCAACCATCAGACAAAAGGATTACTATTTTTAATTATATTTTTGAAGTATTTAGTTTAAAATAAGGTAAAAAACTTAACTTTTAGTTAAAAACAATATAATAGTTTAGGAGTCTAGATGACCAACAATTATTCTCAAAATTAAAAAACTTACAAAAAAGTGAAAAAAGATGTATTGCAAACAAAAAATAAGTTGTAACTATTATAAATAAACTATAAACCTATTTGATTCATTCATCTGCATTTGTGTGCTAGAATCATTTACAACATCATGAGAGGAAGTTGATTCTACTGGGATTTCACCATTCTCACTACAAAGTTCCTCTTCTTTCTTTTCTTTTCTTGTTGTTTTGAGTTCTGAAGAAACCAATGGTGCATTAGTTGATTCTAAAGGCCATTTTTCAAAATCAATAAAATTCTCTTCAAGATCAATTTCATTATAAGATTCTTTTTCCGTTTCCGTTTTCACTTCTTTGTTTTTTTCTTTAGGTTTATAAACCTGTTTAAAAATTTAAATTTAAAAAGAACCAAAACTGTAATTATAAGAGCTTAAAACAATTAAAGCTAAGTCAATAAAAATAAAATTGTCAAACCTGGGCAGGAGTATAGCACCAGCTTGCAACATACATAGGTGCAACAAAGACTCCTTCTTCAATGCCTACTTCATAAATCTAATGACATAATACAAAAAAAATATCACTGTATGTACTGAAATACTGTACTCCTATTTCAGTATTTCATATCGCTTTTTACAAAAAATTTTTTTTTAAGAAAATGTGATTTATTTTCAGTATGAATTTTATAAACTATTTAATTTAAAACTTCTATGCCGCTGCAACTGCTATTGTAAGTGGTATACCTCTAACATTGGATAAAACATGATCATTTGACTTTGAATAATTATTGAAACGTGATTTAATAAATTTTAGAAAATTTAGAAAAACACAATATTGAGTACCTATAAAGGGTAATTTTGTACATGAAAGTTAAATAGTTGATTAGCGCAACTTTTGTGACATCATAATAAAAAGCCCTGGGTTTACATTAAAAGCTTGTTTTTGAAAATGATTATAGGTCTCTCATCTGCCATATTAATACAAAATACCTTTAGGTTATTGCAATAGTAAGAAAAAAAATAGCATAGATTTCTGACTGCGAGCTATCTGTAAGAGTCAGACAGCTCATTAGGGGGTTTCTTTTTTTAATAATAATGTTTATTTGCATTAAAATTAAATACAAAAAGGGGAGACAGGTAATCACAAGATTACGCTTACATAACACCACTAATACAAAAATAGACAATTACAATACAAATTAATACAGTACTCAGTTGCGTTGTAAATCATAATTATTTAACTTTCTTTTGAACATTGATAAATAAAAAAAATGTGAGCTGGTAAGGAACTCCATAATTTTACAGTTCTTTTGCTGAAGAAGAATTTATGACAATCATTTGTACATATAATGCGTGATATTAGTTTTTTAGCGTGACATCTAGTATTTTAGTGAGAGTTAAAAAAGGTAAAGAGATTGGAAAAAGTCAACGAGATTGTGTACATTTTGTATACCATAACAAGATCAAATTTAATTCTATGGTATTCAAGAGAATCAAAATTTAGTTTCTTTTAAAATTTAATTTTTTGAATATGCTGTTTTTATACTAGATCAATGCACAAATATAAATATTTCTCCATATATTAGACTTTGAAGAGGCAAATATTTTAGAATTATTAAACAAATGGTTTCAAATGCATTTTAAAACAAAATAAAAATATTCTCATACTTTCCCATGATTATTTCATTTCATTTTTAAAAATTAGCTAGTTAATACCTAAGAAAATATATATGTATGCATGTATATATATATATATATATATATATATATATATATATATATATATATATATATATATATATATATATATACACATGCATATGAGTTTTGACACTTATATGCATTGTGCAAACTCCAAACTTTAGTATGTTCATGCTTTTATCAAATGAGAATGTTTTGCAAAGAATTGCAGCAATTGGAGATTAGGAACAAAAAAATCTTAATTTTTGGGTCTACCCAGCCCCTTAACGTGGGAGTAATGAGTTTATAAATTATTTTCTTTATTATTTTTATCTAAATTTAATTTTTTTTTCAGCATTTTCATTTCCAACAAAGCTGCAAGCAACCACTATTATAGTTAAAAGTTAATGAAAAAGATAAAACTGAAGTTTGTAAAGCAAGATAACAATTAACAGACAACTTAAAAGATTTCAATTTATATAAATTTGAAAAACAAGATGAAGGGAGCGAATTCCAAAGAACTGATGTTTGAAAAAAAAAAAATAGATGAATAAAATATTTTGTTTAGAAACAGTCACAGTAAAAAGATGAAAATTAATTGAATGACGAGTAACACAAGAATGTTAGTAGATGGCACAAGAGATGCTAGCTCTTTAGAGCAGCGCCCATTATAATATTTATAGAAAAGAAAAAGAAAAGCAACATTACGTAAATGTGATAATGGTTGAAGGTTGGCTGCAAGAGCAGGTCCAAATATGTTTAAAATGCATTTTTGCACCTTGTCTAAAAGAGAAAGGGTATCATTAGAAGGTATGCCCCAGATATGGTAACAGTATTCCATACAAAAACAGATTTGAGATTTTTAGAGATAAAGATTAGATAAATCTGTGGTACTTTAGTTCCTAATATCTCACCATATCATTTACTTTGAAAAATAAATTTTTATTTTACCATAATCTAGTTTAATCTTTTTTTTCACTTCTTTTATTTTCTTCTATTTAACTAATCCAGAGTAAGAAAGTGGCAAGCACAATAAAGAGATGCAACATTAGCAGATGCTAATTTTGCAATCTATTTGATATATGGTTTGTAAGAAAGATCGAAAGTAGGAGTTAATCCTAGAAGAAGAAGGGTAGATGACTTATTGAGTACATTATCATTCATAAATATAGGAAGATCTAGATTATTGCGGTTTTGCGGTTTAATTGGCTGAAAATATTTGGGTTTTATCTGAGTTAAAGTTCACCAGCTACTGAGAGCCCCATGCATAGCATAAATGAGATCTATTTCAAGCTCAAATGCCTTGAATATTTCAAGCTCAAGTGGAAATTCATATTGTTGAAAGAAAGTTAATAGATTCGAGTCGAGAGAATAAGTGTTTGTTAATCAAAGACACAAAAACCTTACTTATGATAGTAAGAAGATTAATTGGACAGTAGATAGATGAGTCAGGTTGCTTTACAGAATTTTAGAAAGAATGCCACTTTCCAGCAGGCTGGAAAACAAGGCTCTGACAAGATTTTGTTAAATAGTTTTGAAAGTATAGACAACAGCTCCAGAGGACACTTCTGCAAGACTTTAACACATATGTTGTCCGTACCACTAACTTTAGAAAAGTCTAAGCAGGAAATCATTTTAGTTACAGAAGCTGGAGTGATACAAATGTCAACCTGTTTGTCGGCTATGTCAGTAAGGTTGTAATTAGAAGAACCAAGAAACTAGATTGATGAAAAGTTCTTAGCAAACAATTCAGCTTTGTCTTTAGGTATGGTAACAAAATCTGAACCATGCAAGAGAGGTGGAATAACAGATTTGCCCTTATAGATTATTATTTATTTAGACGAGTCAGGTCGCTCTCCATAACTTTTGGATATAGGGATAACAGATGTGCTTTCCAGCAGGATGGAAAACAAGACTCTGATAAGCACTTTTTAAATAGTTTTTATACACTACATCTCCAGAGAACTAAGACTCTCTTAGCAGGAAATCACTTTAGATACAGAAGCTGAAGTGATACGAATGTCAAGCAATGGATCAACATGTCTATTGGCTATATCAGGTAGGATGTGATTAGAGGAATCAAATGATGAGATTGATAAAAAGTTCTTAGCAAACAATTCAGCTTTAGGTGAGGTAAAAAAATCTGAGCCATGCAAGAGAGGTGGAATAACAGATTTGCATTTATTATAGATATTGTTAAAAATTCTCCAGAAGTCTCAGGAGCCTAATTTTTGAGATGAAATACAAGATTTTGTGACCTGAGAATAGCGGGCTTTGGTGTTAAAAATTCTTTATAATTTTTTATTATATTTAAATTAAGTTTATTATTAAATATACTAATATAATATATAATTACACAATAATATTATTAAATTTAATTTATTTTATTAAATTCAAATTAATTTTATTAAATTAAATTTAAATTAAAATTTTTTTTTTTTACTTTTAAAATTTCTAAGCTATGTTAAAGAAAAGAAAATTCTTTTTATCAAATTTAGTTTAAGTTACTTTTTAATGTTCGTTTTACATTAAAATATTTTGTTTATTTATTTATAGTTTCAAATCAATAAGTTTTTTTCATCCTGTTACGAAAGTGCTAATATGCAAAAATTTTTTAATGCTTATAACTGTATATAAATGCACTGTCATGTAAAACCATAAATCATAATTTTGCCTGTAGGCAAAATTATTTTATTATTCTTTTTAGTAAACTTTATATAGCAAATTTATGACAAGACGATTTTTTTAGTTTTTAAAAATGCTTTTTAACAAAAGTTTTTTAGTTTCAATATTTTTTTAGATTGATCATAGAATGAACTTCAATTCATCTACTACTTTGTAAGTAGTAGGCAAAGATTTTAATTTTAAAATTTTTTTTTTAATTTTGAAGAATTTTTTTAAATTTTGGCCATTAAGATATTCACCCCAAATTTTTTTTTTTTAATTTTATTTAGGTGCCTCAAGACGCCCTTACGGTCTTATCACAGAGCACTGCGAATGAGCATTTATTGGAAGTTCACGCCTCCATCCTAACCGATTTTACTCATGGCAAAAAAATTTTCATTGTTGAACAGTTGCTTTACTAATACTTTTTACAAGTGAAGTGTTGTCATGTTATCAATTTAAAAAATTTTCAAATTGCTATTTAATACATTTTAAATCTGTTTTACAAACTTTGCTGACTTCTTATTAGTTGAACCCTTTTTAATATTTGATATAAAAATGATGCTTAAACATATATCTTAAACAAATGACACATGCTGTTTAGAAGATCTAGAACATAATTGTTTTATAAACCTGGCATGTCTTACATTGTTCAACATTTACATTCACCAACTTAACTAGTAATAGCTAACTTGTGTTCAATTTGCTTCAAATAAAACCACAACTTACCCCATGTAACAACATTATGCAGTCTCCAAAAAGGGAAGCAGGGAATAGGTTGCTTATATCCTTTTGATTTTGATTGATTAATTTGTGGGGTATCCATTGTGATGCTTGTTTTCTTTTATTAAAAGCATTGTGATCAACAGAAGTGATTGTAAAATGGTTAATTATTGTCAGGGCTTCTATTATATCATGTATTGCATGTGGGTTTTTTTCAATAACAGAGTGCAATTGCTCAGTTTTCTTAGCTACATTTACATTTGTTGTTCACAGTTTTTTTTATATCTTTCTTAATATAAAAGCTGCTTATTCAACCTCCATCAACTCAATCCTCCATTATCAGTTTTTTATCACCTTTAAATACACAAGCCTGCTATTTAAATAAGTTATTGTAATTCCTACATCAGAAGCAGGTGCATTTAACTATTCTTTGAAGTCTATTATAATCCCAATGATTTTTTTCCAGTTTGAAAAACTTATTTTTAGAAA